CATCTGTTGACTTCCCTTGTCTAAATCCATATTATTTATTAGATATTATTTTGTATTTATCGTAAGCTATCATAGGTTTTTTCAAAATCTTTTCAAAAATGTTAGCTAACGAAGATTTTAACGATATAGATCGGTAGTTGGTTACTTCCGACCTTTCCCCAGTTCTGTATATGGGTGTTATTATTTCAGTTTTGAATATAGCTGGGAAGTATCTACTTTGGAATATTTTATTAAAAATATATTTTAGGTGGGGCTATTTCAGATGATGCTCAAGCCGGATTGTGTCCAAGGCCAAGGACTTTTTGTTTTTTAATGAATTTATTGTTCCGATTATTTATTCATCACCTGTATCATAAAGAAATAATGAGTTTTGTTGAGAGTGCTGTGGGAAATTTCTTTTAGTGTCTATATCTTCTTTTAGGTTATCCGCGAGAGTCTCACCTACATGTGCATTATAATCGGCAAACCTGTGTGCTATCATTTTTCTGTCAGAGCTTTTATTGTTGTCATCGAGTTTTGTTTCATGTATCCTGGTTTGATTTTTGCCTCCTGTCAATTTGTTCAGGGACCTCCACAACTTAGTTGGATTAGATCTGGTACTTTCCAGCAGTTGTTGTAGTTTGTTTTGTTCTCTTCGGTTGGATTACCTTTGAGTTCTGAGTATAATTTGTTTCTTTTCTCTATGGATTTGATTAATCCGCCTGTGATTTTTTTCTTTTTTTGATCTTGCTTTTATTTCTGACCATTTTTGTACTACAATATTTTTAACATTTTCCACTAATCTTTCGGTTGCTGCATCTATCGTGTCTGCAACATAAACACTCAGCCAATTTTCGGCTCTGGCATTGTTGAATAATTTATTTCTATCGGTATTTACTTTATATAGCATGTTATGGCCGTCATGTTGCTTTTTTTTCAGTGCGTAATTGGAGAACACTGAGAAATAATCGGTTATATCAGAGTGGTTGACAGGTGGAATATAGTTGTAAGCAGGCAATGAATCTCGAACAAAGATGTGCATGCTAACAAATTTGCTTGATAAGTTACTATTACTTTTGATGTCTATGTTTATATCGCCAGCCAACACATGCACACACGTGTGTAATTCTGGAGAGGTAATTGTCGAGTCATTCTATAAACTCGTGTTGACATGTACTGGGAGGTCTATAAATCGAAGTTATTTTCAGTTTTTTGTTATCAAATTTGAGATCTATATCCAAAAGTTTAAGTTTGTTATCAAGTGATATAATGTTATCGCGACAAATACAAATAAGCCATCATTCTTGTTGATATTACCTTCATTCTCGCCATGTTTCTGATAATATGGTTACGTCAAATTCGTGTTTTATTTCCTCCAAATGTAGTATTTAAACTGTCTAGGTTCTTACAGATACTCCTAATGTTGAGATGAAGTAAGCTTAAGCTATCCGTTTCATTAGAAATTATATTATCAATTTCAGATACATCTTTCAATATTGCAGTTTGTATAAATTTAGGTCCAAAGTTTTTTACAAAATCATCCATTTCCTTGTTAGACATGACAAAAACGTCTAACATTTAAAAAAAGGACAATACACAATGTGTTCATATTTATAGTAGCTAAAATAGGATAGTCAATGGGTACAAGCAAGATATATTCAAGTTAATAGAATATATATCATACATATAGCGTCACATATACTAATAAAAAGTCATGTAAAAAAAACGATAAAATATTTTCACAAGGAAAACAGAGTAAAAATAACAGATCACAGCCTAAAACTTCAATTTTTTGCTGGTGGGGTGCCCTTCTCGGAAACCTACAGATAGTGCTGAGTCTCAATGTGTCATAATTTTCCTTTTTATGTAGTATCGTTGTGGGGGGACTGATAAAGGTATTGTAAACACAAATACTAAATACAGTTTTCCCTAATCTCACATCAAAATTGAAATAACATTGAAAATCTCTCAAAGTCTAGGACCAGCTAGTAAGGTCACGTCTGAACTTATGTGCCGTCAGTTTGAATGCGGTGCAATACTAAGCACCAATAGGAATATATAAAAAACGAGGCATTATATAGCACCTTTCCTTACATGTGAAATAGTCTACATTTGGTAGTGCTGAAATTAAATCCAGTTAAACAGTTAAATGTTATTGTATTCACTAATCCTAAAAGCGAATTCGCTAATACTACCACAAAATCAAACTAACCATTCCAAACCTTGAATTTTGTTTTGAAGGTTGATAAAACGTATACAGTAGTATTTCGCAAAATATGACATGGTCGTAATATTTTAAAATGGCGACCAAATCGCAAAATATTTCTTGGAGCGTACATCTCAATAATCATTGGATTAATTGAAAAAAATATAATCACAAAACATGTTTCCCTTAAAAAAGGAGTGGAATGAGCTTTAAAATAATAAAAATACCCACAGTGCGATGAATATGCCGTTCGATGGAATATTGAACGTTCTGTCTTTCAATACGTCTCCTCACTCTTCAAATTAACATAGACGCTCGCAAGAAAGTATCCGGCTGACCTTTATCTAATGTTTGCATATTTAGCAAAATTTGTGTACATCTTTGAGAGTTTGAAAAGTTTGGCCACCTCTGAGTAATTTTGTTACCCCTCCTCTCCCAAAAGTTTCGGGGGCAGGTACACTTGCACCAAAATGCTGGTGAGTGCCTCCTTCCTGAGAAAAATTACTGCGGGCGCTCATGGCTAACATTATGGCGAAACATTTGACGATACTTGGAACCTAGAAACATCTTCTTTTGCCGGAAATTCTTTAATTTTTTTGATTGACGTTAAACCAGACATCAAAAGTTGTCGAAAATTCGAGAGCATTTCCCAGGGAACATTATATTCTACTGTGCTCAAGAGTTGCTCCCCTCGAGTTTGTTAAGCTCCTTTCTCACGGAGGGTGGTACGCCAACGTGATCCTCGCTTTCGTGGAATTGCGCTCAGGCTGGGTATCGGACACGTTTGATTTGCAGGCGTGGGCACGTCAATCGAGAGAGGGGTGGATCGTAATCTGCCTTTTAATTGTGTGATGGAACGCGTTTCCGGAGGAGATCAAACTGAAAGTCATGCATTTGTAGCAAATTACTTTAAATCTTCAGGGTACTCAAATTCTTCATGCAAATTTCCACATCTCAACTCAACAAGTCTTTACCTTTGCGATTATTTTCTATCTATTCACGTGACTCTCAACATTTTCGCTAATAAACCACAAAATTCTGATTTCAAAGATACAATCAGAAGCTCCTTACTGACCAGCTTCATGGAATGAACTAAATCGTGATCGTGTGAACAGACTACGACACTCGATGGTTCACTTTTCGCTCCAGTCAAGAGCCACGAAAGAGAGACCGGAAGCGTGCCTTGCTTTTGTTTTTTGCTCTGTGAGACCGTTGCCTTTAATCTCAACATCAGATTATCATCAAAAAATGGCATCAAGTAAGTAGACCTTGCACTTCTCACGCAACGCAGTCACTACTTCATGAATGATCACGTTCGGCACAACTTAGTTCCGTTGAGCTAGCTACAAACATGCATAACAAAAAAATAAATGGACCAAGTCAGCCAAATAGGCTCATACAACTAGTCCATACTCCGTAGTCCCCACCCATTTGATAACGCTAATGCTAGTTTCTTCCTTGCCATAATATTGACCATCTGGCAACGGTGCCAAACCACAACAGTCACCATGCCATAAGCGCCTGGCCACGATAATAAAACTCCAGATATAGAACGTCGGTGATGCAGTCACACACACGCATGAAGTATGCGTACGTGGTGAAAACCCTTGAAGCTTCGACATTTTTTTTCAAATTCCACAATTAATAATTATAATTTTGCAGTTTACTTTAACATAAAATATATTTTGTTCCAAGTGCGTTATTCCCCTGAGGAATCCAAAAAACATCTGATATTGTTAGGCTATTTTTAGATCTGAATAAATTCTGAAGCAAAGTTGGAAGAATTAGCATGTCGTCCACGAAACACGAAAGAATGCATCATGAACCCATGTAATTAGACAATACATATTCCAAATGTGGGTTTGGTGGACATTAAAACGATAATCATGACATTTTTCCTAAGAAACGAACTCTTTTGTTGTTTGATGTAGACGTTGTGCGTTGTATTTCACTTTGCGTGTACTTGTGTAAATACGGTGCTTGTCAGAAAGGTCCTCCCGCCTATTGATTATTTTGAACAGCTGAAGTATCATGTAGAGCGGCCTCCATTGTGCCAAAATGACGCTTGTTATCTCAATGTCCTTTAAACATGCTTATTTTCAAAGACCACTATGAGAATACTAGTTTTTTTGAAAAATCAATGTATACGTATACCTTTTTGAAAGCGAAACTAAGAACACTTTTTACTTCAAGAAAAATCCAATACGGCGCCCTGTAAGTGAAAATAAAGTTTATCATTGAGGACAAAAGACGAAACGTCATAACGAAATTCTAATTATGTCGTCATGTAGAGGAGAAAAAGCGCCAATGTATAATAATAATAGTAATAATAATAATAATAATAATAATCCATCCAACAACGGAAGGGTTCATAACTGCCATCCAGGACAAAGTAATAAAAACAAAAAACTATGAAAAACATATTCTCAAATCCAACGTCCCAGATGAATGTAGGAAGTGCAACCAGGCGGGCGAAACCATCGAACATATTACTGGAGGTTGCCCTGCGTTGGCAGCTGGCGATTATTTGGGAAGACACAACCAGACTGCAAAAATAATCCATTCACAGCTAGCTTAAGAATTTGCGTTCGGCTTTCCATCGGGAGCCAATAAAATTACGTGAAAAAAAAGAGTGGCTCATTGCCCTGCAAGAAGGAAAAGAGGTTTTGTTATGAAGCACATACCTTCCTATTGGATGTGGATGAGCCCAGATCCACACTGCAACAGCTCTAAGTGACGAAGAGGACATTGAGGTGAGTTTTTTTAAATATAAATACACAACTTTATGTTATTAGTAAGTATATTGAAATATATATCCATACAGCATAATTATGAGAGTAAAAAGGTAAGCGTAAAAAATGAAAAGTTAGGCGAAATAGTCCTGACAAGCCGATCATCCGATTGAAAATACCTCATAAATTCCTTCCTGAGTTCTTTAGCTTCGATATTTGCCCTTCTTGCTCTATTTGTCAAATTCAGCAGACCAGTATCACCTTGCACGACTGCCCGCCATGATCCAGGAATAATTTTTCCATCCTGCGTTTCGTTATCTAAGGTTCGTTGAGAACAATGTAATGTTCGCGATGTTTTAATCCTTCTCAAAAAATTATGGAGGTAAATACATATTTTTGTGACAATTTCGGCGTTTTCCAAATTGATCATTAGTGGTTTCCTGAATACATGAAATACACTTGCTAGCAGCCCAAATGAATTTTCCACTACTATTCGAGCGCGTGAATGCCTATAATTGTACAATCTTTGAGAAGTTCCTTTGTCGAGGTGGCCACTGAGCGTTCTTTGAGCCAACATTTTATAAAAAGATGTTTCTCGAAAAACATCTCCGTCGGATATCCTCAAACAATGCTAAAAGTCCCTTTGTAGTTGAAAAACATACTGCCACTGTTTTTTGGATTCTCGATGACAACGTGTTTTCCGACACAAGCTCCTACGCAATGCGGATAATTCCAGGAAGCTTCGAAATCTCTTGCTATGGTTCTCCATTCGTTTTCTGATCATGGCATCTGGAAAAAATAATTATTTTTAATTATAATTAGCATTTACTCATACTGTTTTTATTTCAAATTTGATTGTATTTGCAATTATTTTATGACATTTTAATGAAAAATTTCTTTTCAATTCTGATATACAGAGTGCATCCGGTGAGGATACTGAAATTGTTGACGACGTGCTTCATTCATCATCACAATCGCCAGTTACGTCCCCATCAGATCCATCAACAGCATCTGGTCCACCAAGAAAAGTGTTTAAATCTCCTCTGAAGGTAACAAGAATAAGAAAAGTGGAAGATCAACGTACGGATGAGGCATATGCCATTTTGAATAACTGTGTTAATGATAAAAACGATGCCAGCAGTGTTTTTGACGATTATGTAGCCTCAAAGCATCGAAAGTAGTCAGTACACTAGAAATGTAATGAACATTCGATTAACACGATATTGTACAATGCAGATATGGGGAAATATGGCGAACCAAGTGCTACATCACAACAACTGACTGACTGACTTGCAGCCTGAACGTAACTCGCCTACTCAGCAGCTTCAGCCGGATGGATATCAACCACATACTATTTCGGTTGTTCATCGAGAAACCTCATCAAATTCATCCCAAGTGGATAAGATACACGGCGATTTGACGTGCTACTACTCGTATAGTTCCTTTTCAGATGATTCATATTCCTCATCCAGTTATGAGATATCCCCGAGGTTATCCCTTTTAAGCCGCTATTTGTATTTTTCTATTGATTAACTCACCTTTTGTTTTCACTACGGGTTTCATTATAAACGGAAACGTTCTAATATCTTTCAAATAATTGTTTACGTAACATACATAGGTTCCTTTGAAATTGACATAAATAATAATAATGTACCTATTTAGTATTATGACTTCATTACGTTTATTACATATTTTTTATCGTTTTGGAAACGATAACGTTACATTTTGTTTTCACTATGGATTTCATTATAAATGAAAACGTTTGTTACCTTCCACATAATTATCCACATAGGTTCCTTTAAATCTGATAAGAAAAATAACAATAACGTCCTTATTGAATATGCAGATATCATTATGATCATTATTATAGATGTTATTGTTGATTTTATAGTTACTTCTTTTTGTTTGAAAACTGATATTTTATTATCAGAATAAAAAATGATAATGTATTGATGTTTTTACTTACCCTTAAAAAAAACATGTAAATTATTCGACAAATGCTTGGTTCAGATAACCGAAACAGATACATAAGTGATAGATATCTATCACCCGTAGCCAAATATCTTAATGTCACTAGCAATCTCACGCGCGGTGTTATTGCTTCCCGAAAGTTGGTATCACATTTTTTCATCATAGGTGAGATTTCTTCAAGTATGTAAGTAGTGAAAATTGTTTTTCCTCATCCGGGTGAAATTTCGGAATAAAGCATCATCGTCAGCCACCAAGTTAAGTTGTACAAATTGTACTGAATTTCTTGACCATCTACGTATATATTTCTTCTCCAATGTTCTGGCGTTTTTCTTTTTCTTTTCCGATCCGAAGAAATTACTGAATAAGCAGTCGCCGCGACTGTCTGTAATGACATGACGTACTAAACTGGAGTTGCCTGAATTTAATCGTGAAGACGCATGCTACTCGTATACGACAAAGCGCATGCCACATAGGGGAACAAAATTCGCATGCGGCATTGATAGAATTTTGGGCAACACTGTCGAACGTCAACAAGAGAGAACACTAGGAAACAAGTAGCATGCCACATGTCGTTCATTGTTGCCTCAGTGGAATTGCGCCTTAAGGAAACTTGGCGGAGAGAACGTCTCTTCTCCAAAGCAATAAACAGATATCTGGGTAATTTATATTTTAAAACTTTATACAGTAGAGTTCTATACTGAAGCAATACCTTTTATTTTTAAATCCCGCTTTAAGTAAATAAAAGCTATTTTGGAGAAATTAACAATAGAAAGTCTTATGCACATCGTGCATGAAAGTTTGTGATTCACCGCATGATATTGTTACTGATACTGTTCCCCTTTAGATTGCTATTACAGGCTTAATTTCGCAAAATCTGCCCATAAAAGATTTATCCACGGCACCGACGATATTTAAATTAGATTTAAGCTTAATTAATCGCTGTTAAAGTGTGATTTCCGGTAGAAATCAGATTTAAAGTTATACGAATCTAATAGTGTCTATCAATTAAGGCGATGCAGGCGTTCATTTCAATTTTAATAGTGAAATTATGGTGCAATAAGAATATTTTAAAGCCCGTTAGGCGATGATACCTAAATCCCTAAATTGAAAATTATCTCGTAATGAGCAATGCCATATAAAATAATTGCGAATAAAGTAGGCGTCTTCGGCAATTCGTATAATTTTGTGACGTATGCGGGATGTCATTAGGAGGTAATGTGGTCTTTAGACTACTTTTGCCGACAGTAACACAGTTGTAGCATGTGACCTGAAAATCATTTCTTTAATATACATGATAAAATGCACACTTTCCGTCAAATGAAAAATAAAGTTAACGCTTTATATTACTAACATTTTTTTCTAGCACAGTTTCCATAATTTACATCTGAATATGGAGCAAATAAAACGTAATCGTATTAATTTTCGCTAGAAATATTGTTAATATAATATAATAATATCTCCAGAACAATGAGATTCTTATTTTGAGCTCCAAAATCTCTGCGACAAAGATCCCTTTTCTAGGCGAAACATCTGGAGCTAGACTTTTCCACTCTTCTCAGAGGTTCTACGGCCCCTACATTCCTAATTATCTTCCTCTTCTTCACCTACTTAGAGGAACTCCTCCATTTAAAGTGCCATCTATATACGGTGTGTTTCAAATTCGACTCTCGCCATTGGAATCTCGGAAATGGTGAACGATACGAAGTCGCTTAGATGGGGGCAAAGTTGCGTACTCAGGTAACCTACAAAATGCCGCTGAGACAGTTTCGAAATTTAAAGTAGTTCCGGAAAGAGAAGCAAAAAGAAGAAATTTAGTATTGTTTTAATTTTTTCCTAACTTTATTTATAGTGGGATTCCAAAATAAATTTCGCAATGATATTGTTATTATACTAAGTGACATATACATCCGAACACCCAGTTTAAATGGTTTTATTTTAATAAATTTTTGTATAAGTACTTAATGAAGCATAATAAGTAAATAATAAAAATTTCAAAATGATTGCACTGCTTTAAAGCCCTTTGACCTTTAATAATGTGTGGATGCACCCTGATGTGCTACGCATTCTCCAACGCGCCTAGGCATGCTTCTGATCAGGTGGTCAATGTCCTCCTGTGGTATCTCATTCCAGGTAACCACCAACTCCTCTCGAAGTGCTTCTAGAGTCTGAGGAGGACGTTGCAAATTGAGCAATCTCCTACCCATCATATCCCACACGTGCTCAATTGGGGATAAGTCGGGAGATCTTGGTGGCCATGGTAACAATGTGACAGCATTATGTTGAAAGAAGTCTATTGTGACTTTTGCAACATGTGGTCGGGCATTATCTTGTTGGAAAGTTGGATGTGCTAGGGTGTCAAGATAGGGTAAAAGATGGGGTTCTAGAACTTCGTGGATATAATGCTGCGCGTTCATGTTACCTCTGATGAAGATTAAAGGTGACCTGGAACCATAAGCTATAGCACCCCAAACCATAACTCCAACAGTGTGATGAACATGTCTTTCAACAAAAAACTGTGGATTCCTCCTTTCACCACGTCGCCTTCTAACCCTGGCACGACCATCGTGCATGCCTAAACAAAATCGAGACTCGTCACTAAAGACAATACTGTTCCATTCCTGATCCCAGAGTAACCGATGTCTGCACCACTCAAGGCGATTACGTCGGTGTTCTCGAGTTAAAGGGAGGACCCAGTGTGGCCGGTATGAAAACAAGCCAAAACTTTTCATTCGTCGGTAAACACTTCGCATGCCAATAGGTCTTCCGTGTTCTGCAAACCATTCATTTGCAATGGACCTGGTAGTGGAGAAACGGTCCCTTAAGGCCAATAATCTTATCCGGCGATCTTCACGGTCTGTTGTTCTACGGCGGCGTCCAGTGCCCCTTGTTCTTTGCGTACGGCCTTCTCGAAGCCATGCCTGACAACACCTAACCAGAGTGTCTACACTTCTTTGCACTCTAACTGCAATTGCCCGAAAAGAAAGTCCAGCTTCCCGAAGTCCCACTGTACGGCCCCTATCAAACTCACTAAGTTGACGAAATCGTACAGGTCTCCGTACTCTAGGCATCGTAACCGATCGTAAAGGATGTCAAGAACCAAAATCCGCCAACGTTGATTCTTTACTGCGGCTGAAATATTCATTTTTAGAGCGTTAGTGAATTAAAAAAAGCAGTATAAAAACCGGAATGTCCAACTGATAAGGCTGCAAATTTTTTCACTTGTTATTTACAGTAAGATAAATACATTCACCAACTTTTATTAAAATAAAACCATTTAAACTGGGTGTTCGGATTTATATGTCACTTATTATATATTATTTTTTACAAGATGGCATAATTAGAATTTCAATATGACGTTTCGTCTCTCGTCCTTCATCACCAACTTTATTTTTTCTTAAAGATGGCGTATTGGTTAAATGGATTAAATTGTGCATAGAAACAGAGCTTGGACGTTTGAGAAAAAACAAAACCGAGCAGTGAGCAACGTACCGAGAAGAGTCAAGCCCTGCCTACAAAATAACGGACAAGGTATTGAACATCTACTATTATTTATCTCTGCTTATTAATGATTATTATTGTTATTACCATCAGTAGCATTTCGTCTTCAGGTTTCACAATAGCTTTTTACTCCCGTGTAATTTTTGCTCAAACAACAAATCGGTTGCCACTCAAGGAAATATATCACTCACTGAATTTAGGACTAGAGCGTCCATATGGAAGAAGTAGGTGATGGAAGTCGAAAAAAGAAACCTCGGTTTAAAAATTTGACTACACTACAAGAAAAAGGGACAATGACAACATGTCATCCCATCTCCAGTAAAGTAGGGATCAATACGAAATAATTTTGGGATAAATCTGGTATACGAAATAAATGACTATCTGATAATTGCAAAGCCTACCTAAGTATTTTTGTTGAAATAACATGGTTTTACAATGCCCATGTGTGACAAATTATACATTTTTCGAATCAGAATTGAGAACGACAACAGACGAAACGTCATATTGAAAGCATGATTATGGCGTCTTATAAAGAAGAAACAGTGGTAATGTTAATGTGCAAATCGATTTTGAGAAAATTCGTCTATCTCCGAAAGTGGTTTGGGTTTCAAAACCTTCTAAACGGCATTATGTTAGCTACCTAAATATGCAACTTGGTCTTCATTTGAGCAACTTTGTATCTCTTACTGTTTCCGGGGTCCCAGTGGTGAGGGTCGAATTTGAAACACCTAATATATAGATTTTACAGAAAAAGAAAGACGAAAGTGTAACTGACGGTTCATTGGGACACAAGATCCCATTCAATCGGATTTCTTGTGGATGTTTAGACTTCACTGGAAGCCTAGAAATATTTAAATATCTTCTAATTGTTTTAAAATTCTTCGGATCTCTGACTAACTTCACCTGTGACATCTACCAAACATCAGCAATTAGCAAACTGGCTATAATAGTAACGCAAAACTGTCAGCAGCGAGCAGCTCGCCGAGCGCCTGTTCCAGCTGTATCTGGTAGTCAACCCATCAACAACATTGGACTGGTGATTAGGAGTATCCTCCTCTTCATTGCAATATTCGCAGTTCTCTTCTCTCTCTTTACTACTCTCTTCTGGTCCATGCACCATAGCCAGTTGCCTTCGATCTCTCCTGTCATCTCGCAAAACGCGCATCTCTTTCGTCGCTTGTAGTTTCGTTGCCCTTCTTATACAGCGCACCCAGCAGGTCAATTTGCAGGATACCAGCTACCATCAGTAGCACTAATTTTTGCAGGCTTGCCGATATTTGCTATCTACATTTCCTTTTCCTCGAGGCCTCCATACAGCATAACCGAGTTTGCCACTCCTGTCAAAATTCTGTGCTTCTCACTACTAGGGCCTCCGTCAGATGGCGTTAGCCGTGTTAAAGATGCAACGACCTCATTTACCTTCTCAGCGGTGCACCTTTTCATGCGAGTGTTCATTTGCAAACTTCCCACCACAGATTCATCGAAAACCACAAGAAGAAACGCCGACACACGACAGCTTTTGAACCAGAAACTACTTCATCCCCTTTCACCCTCTGCCACCAGGGTAATCCCCTTAAACCTCTTAAATGACAAGTGGTATCGAGTAATAGCTTGCTCAAAAGGTCTTTCGAATTCCCTTATTTTGACATTCTAAAATCGGTCAATTCACTTTCAAGAAAATTAGAAAAAATCTTTATTTATCTTAATTTGTTCAGATGGAAAACAAAAACACACGAAAATATTAAAATACTTTTAATTTCAATAAGCGATCAAAATGTTGAATAAACACAGTAGGTTTAAAATGGCCCGATGGAAAAAGTCTAATGGCGTCAAATCAGGAGATCAAGTAGGCCATTCTATAGGTCCTCTTCGCCCTATCCATTTATCTGGAAACTCGTCGTCTAGCCATTGCCGAACCGGAAGAACATAGTGAGGAGGAGCGCCGTCTTGCTGGAAATATATTTCAGCCGCTTCAAGTATAGGGTTTCCATCCTCTTCGATTTGGTCTCAATTTAAATTTTCATTAATAAACAATGGCCCAATCACTTTGTTTCCTAAAATGCCTGCCTATACATTAATTTTTTGGGGGTACTGGGTAAGCGCTTCTACAAAAGCATGAGGATTTTCATATCTGTTTTGACGTATATCGGTGTGTTTTCTTATAATCAGTGGGTTTCAATAGAACCGTGGTTGGAAGTTTTAAAATGAATGTTCAATCATTTCCAGATCTTTGTCAAGCCACACATCCAGATACCTAATTGCATTTTGGCTCCAAATCTCGGAATTATCAACCTTAACAGCTTGATGATAGATAGTACCATGCTTCATATTTTAATGCTTTTCGAAATTAAAAGTATTATAATAAAAATATCTTAGGACTTCCCCCAGGCAACTTTGACTAACAATCATGGTACTGCCTAGAGACGCTGAAAAATTCCAAAACTGTCTTCCGCTATGGATGGTTTGATACAAAATTATTCGGAAAAAATAGTGGCAAGTAGATTGACTGGGTACTACGCAAGCACCTATTCCTAATTTCAAATTTTCCATAAATAAATACAAGCCTTGCTAAAGAAACAAAACGTTTGAGATCCATAATGTTTTTGAATATGCCCTAATCTGAAGCAATCAGAAACGATTAAAGCCAATTGTCGAAATATTTAAAAATTCTTAGCTCTTAACAAAGATGTTTGATTACCATTAAAAATGATCAAAAAGTTGTAAAGCATATAAAAACAATCCGAAAGCTATTTTAATTCACAACACTGCTGCCATTTAAATGATTTTTAAAAATGAAGTAGCAATACCTACTACGACTCCACATCGATTTACGTGTTGTAAACATCGCAAAACCAAAAACATTTATTCTCATTCACAGTACCTGCCGCTCGTTCTTCAAAAAGTGTTAAAGGTTGGCACACTTTTATAGAAAACTTTACGATGATCCACCCCTCTAATTGAGAAAATTTCCTGTAGCAGCTCATGGTCAAAGCGTGACAATTCATATCATTCAAAACAAGTGATTATGTTTCTTTTGTTAAAATCTATACTTCAAATCTTTTGCGATTCACTACATTTGGGTGAGGCCCCTTCCACAAATTTTGATTTAGTGCTCGGAAGGGGTAAGCTACGCTGCTACCTATCAATCTTCCCCTTGTCTCATATATCACACTTCGTTATTTATTCACTGGAACCGCCGTCAAGTCCAATTGCAGAAAGAAAAGTGCTGCGTTGGTAAATAAACTCGACTGTTTGTTATCCTTGGCCATTTTTAAGTAGCGAGATATCGTCTATTATCAACTTCATCAGACGGACTAGACCAAGCACAGATCACATTTTCCTTCCGAAGTATTGTGGTGTTTCTGAAGGTGCTAACTGGGCAGAACTAAACACATTAATTGAGGATGTTCTTAAAACTATTTTTGAATATTATAACAGTAAACTTCTGACCGTGAATTGCGCAGAAGACAACTTTGGTTCCTACATAAACCCACAGTATGACACGATAAATATTAATCTAAGTTCTAATAAGACAATAGCTATCAAACGGACCAGTGACATAAAAGTTTATCCTCGATGAACACCTGAAATGGACATCTAGAATACAGCGTGAAAAAAATTAGAATACCTTTACCAAAATGCAAGCATCTAGCACGATTACTGACTGATAAGTCTTTAAAACATATTTTGCTCTTGTTCAGTATCACTTGAACTGTGGTATCATTGGATGGGAGCTGTAGCTCAAATTACTCCAGAAATCTCGTGTACAAAAATACATATTAAATTGATATACAAACAAAGAAAGACCTATCCTTCCAATGACATGTTTGTTCAGGCTAAAGTTTTTGATATCAGACAGTTATATATGTAGAACCTTATTACTTTTCAGTGTAAAAGGTCTTCATTGACTGCTATGGCACCCGTCACAATGCAGTTCTAAAGCCGGAGAAAACACTTATACAAAGATCCTGTTTTTTCCTCTATCCAAGCATTTTCAATACAATCCCAGTGCCTTGCAAAAAAGTAAACAATTTGAATCCATTTAGATGACAAATAAAAGCCTGGTTACACAAAGTCCCGAGGGTTAAAATCCATATGAATATAGAAGGCACGAACTTTTCGCTTTTTTCATAACTACTGGTTATTTCTTCTTTGTTGTGGATTTTATTTACTCTTGGCTGTTTTTGATATGGTCAAAAAAACAATTATAGGTATGTCAGTCGCTAATTTAGTCAAATCACTAAATCTTAGTGGCCCATTTAAAATTGCCTGTAGTGTTGTGTTTTAAAATCCTCAAATTTAGCTTTGGTGCAGGAGGAGGAGCGACAGACACACCTTATCCTTTGGTGGTTAGTATTTTCACTGATATACCAAAGTTTATGAGTGAAACAACACTTACTTCACCGAGATGTATGTGGTAATTTCACCCAAACTGATACACATACATCATTTATATATTAAATTAGAATAAAGAATACCATTTTATTGTGTTATGTCATCGTTATTGTATAACTATTATCTAATTCGTTTACCCGCGCACAAGTGTCACCCTTCTGCGGCCTCTTCATTTATTTAATAATAATAACAATGTCTTTTTATTTAGCGAAGTTTACCTTAAGCTATTCCTCCACTTAATCCATACCAAAATAAATACAAACATGGCTGAAATAGATAAATGACAATAAGACTCATAATATAACAAAAGTATTATACATATTTAGTATAATTACTCATAACTGAATCAATACTATTTTTATAAGCAGAAGTGAAAGATTTCTAATTTTGGCACTCTAAAGGTGATTCTTGATATGTCTTTTAAAGTTATCAAATGTTAAAGATTCAAGTTCAGAGGGTAATGAATTAGGTAGATCGCATTAAAGGTGAAGCCTATATGGAAAAGTGAAGTTCTGTGGATAGGCATGGTGAGTGTATTTGGGAAGCGAACATCTCTAGAATGAACACAGATAGGATTTAATAGTTTTTCCTTTAAAAACGGAAGTAATGAGGTAGTTTGGAGTTTATGAACATAACATAGTAACTGATATTTATATAATTTTGTAATATTCAAAAAACCTAGTTTTTGTAAAGATATCGAAATATGGTCGTACTTTTTCAAGTTTTCTAATAATCTACAGCAAGAATTTTGAATTTTTTGCAAGCGTTTTATAGACACTGAATCTAAAAATGTTTGGTAAACAATATCACAATAAGTAATTTTTGAATCATCAATGATTCGCATAGGATTTTCTTAGTTTTGTAGTCTAAAATTTGTTTATTGAGGTATAATTGGCGAAGTACTGTAAAACTACTTTTAGCAATATGATTCGCATGTGGAATGAAATTTAGACAGTCGTCAAGAAAAAGTTTTTAACTGATTCATGCACTTAAACAATTTCGCCATCGCATCTTTTAATATATTTCCTTAGTTTTTTGTGAGAAAATATGATAACATTTGATTTTTAATTGAAATTCTGCAACTTAGCTTTGTCATTATTGAAATTGTTGTATAACTAAGAATCATCGGCAAAGAATTGTATATTGCAATATTTCACCACTTTGTCTAGATCAGCTATGTAAAAATAAAAAGTTGTAATAGTTCAGTATTTTGAAGACAAACAAATATTACTTTTACTATTACTATCTACAAACAAAGAACGAGGATCTTCTGGACGATAGCCCTATTTTGTGAGTTATCCATCTGAGTGCCAGATTTGCTAGCTTACCTCAGAAATATTTGAGCTCCTAGATTCCTACTCTTCATCTTCATATTTCTCCACATCGTTCATACTCGTATTTATTCAGTAGGAGAATATTTCAAGTGAATCTGCAGTAGGAAAAGAGTTACGTTGATAAATAAACCCGGCTGTCTGCATTCGTTGCCCCCTTTAAATAGCGAGATATGTCTATTATTAACTCTATCAGACGGACTAGACCAAGAACAAATCCTCATGAAATAAGATGGCAAGAGGAAATTGGCTGTGTTCGCATAGAAGCGTCTCGTTTTGGTACGTCGCTTCGCAGGGGCGTGCTACAAAGAATGGTTTCAGGGGTAGGGCATGTAATAAGTGGGGACATTTGTCAATTATTGATGAGAACCACCTCTGGTTCTCGTGAAGCAACATTCATTATTTCTCGATTGCTCAGAATACCAGGGTCGTAACGATGGTTGCTTGGGGACCTTCTCCCCCGTTTTCATTCAAGTTGGCAAAACAGGATTCCAAGGGACACGCATATGCTCAGTAAACAGCTCGTAAGCCAATACTTAATATAAGTTTAATACATTAATCTCAATGTTTCGTTTTTCGACAAAAAGTAAGCACTTCACTTGAAAATTTACATGATCTTAAGACGACGACGATCATGGTTAGGTTCACTGGCAAATATACACTTCTCTGAAAATGACCTGCAAATTGCATTTCAGGAACGAAAAATAGATATTTCCACCTTAAAATGCAATTGCTCTTCAAATGACCTTGATGATCATAGTCAAGGTCATGTGCATACTTGGACACAAAGTTTCGTGCTCTTCTTATTACCGGTATCATAAAGGGATTTCCATTTAAGAAAATTGTGTTCACCTTCAAATGAGCTTTTCAAACCTTACATCTTTGTCATAGAACATTTTTTTATTTCGAGATAATTTCCTTACTTTCTGGACACCCTTAAATACTCATGATCATCGTCAAGGCCGTACACAAAAATTACATGCGCTTTACATTTTCGGTGTCAAAATAGAAATTTCACTTAAATCTGGTTTGACCTTCAAATGATCTTAAAAGTCATGCTCAAGTTCAAGATTAGATAGATCTTTTCAGTTCTTATAACTTTGCTCTACAACATTTTTCTCTATGGAAGTGGGGGAATTTGCTGCGCTGGGTAATAAGCCGCAGCTTGTTATCTTCCTTTTAAGCCTATATTTGGCAATAGTGTTAATTTTAACACGTTCTTCTAACGTAGCAATCGTCTGTGAATACCTCAGAAGTCAAATTAATTAGTATTTCAGTGAATTTCGTCAGTATAAAGGTAAGGACCGTTTAAAAAATATAACTAAGTCAAGTTATACTCAGTAATAAAAGAAGTTGTAAGTGTTCTTAATCCAATTTTAATAAGAGTATGCCAAGATACGGTTCCTAACCTAACTTTTTTGGCGGAACTATCCCTTAAATGTATCTAAAATAGGTATTGCCACTTTTTGATGTAATAAGGTACAATGTGGTGTAATATGCCTAACGTAGTGGGGATTGGAACATGATGAATCAGAATTTCGTGCCCAATTTTGATAAAAAAGGTCCCAAATGTGATTGGTTTCAATGTCTAAAATGCCATGATTGGGTTCACGAGATATGTACTCCTTCAGACATATATTGTAGCGACTGTGTCCCACTAAATCAACTAGCAAGTACTTCCAGAGCTCTGGAGAGATGAGATTTATTAGCCTCGTTGTATTACTTAATAATACTTGTTATGTTGTAAAGATTATATATTTTTTCAAACCTAGAAAAAGTTGTTCAATTTTTTCGAGAAGAGTATGATGTCATATTGCCCATATTCTTCAGTCTGGAATTATGTCAACGAGCATTTCACGTCATATACTCAAATATACACGCTATGAGATGCCACCTTCTCCTTGTGGTTGGGTTGGTTGCATGTCAGAATGTAAGCTTTTGAAATTTATGTTGCCATATGTCCCCAATTTACTCTATAGTTGGTTTTCTGCTCTGAGTTGATCCAAAGATATCCATTTTATTACCCAAGCCGTCATGTCTCTTGAACGTAAATGAATAATCGTGTTGTTTACGCTTAATATACGTTAAGCGTGTGCTTGACTAAACGGTAAGTAGCTATAGGTTGCCTCCGTGGCGGCGTTGGTTGATACCTCCTAAATACGATTTTTTCTGACCGAAGCCACAAACGTGCCTGCTGACCCTTGTTGATGTCTTCTAGTTGAATGTTTCTTCCCATCCTTGTTTTACCTTCAGGTTACACCTCTATCCAGATGTGATGGGTATATGTTTTCACTTTGGTGTTTCCGATGCACCTGTATCTACCAATCCTACTTCTGCCAGTCGCGGATCCAGCATCACGTTGGGGTGGGGGCAGTAGTGTGGGTTGCCTACCTTCAGGGGGTATTGTCAAGCCGTTTGCGCTTATTGTAAAGTAAGTAAGAAGCGAAATAATAAACAGCAGTGCGAGAATAGAATACACATTTAGTTTAAGTTTTTAAACAATAAACAATGTGGACTTTAACTCAAAAATACCGTATACCCGTACATTCAGGTAAGTAAATACAAGCAATTAAATATGGATAACTAATGTTTAATAATAAATTCTTAAATTCTCAGATTAGTATGAAATGCATTTAATAATCAAGACACACCTTTATAAACAATGCATTAAAAAATTAAATCTATTCGGCGATTATCACTCTTCTCAAATCTTTTGATCACCCTATCAATATCGACCCCTGTGTCTCTTTGAACATACATAAACACTAGATTTCTTAGATGCTTCTCAATCATGGTGCTTCTCAGCCAAGTCTTCACTCGTGTCAGCGCTGAGAAGGACCTTTCCGCTATGTCTTTACTGACGGAGTGTGTGGTCGAAATTTTGAGGAAAGCAGAGATCGTTGGGTAGACATTTTCGCTACAGCACCGAAGTAACGTCACCAGAGGATATTAGTAATGCTTTTCTCTCATTTTCATCCTTCTTCCATTTGCTTGCCATAAAGTAAGTTGTGCCTTTAATTTTAGGAGAGTCATCTCAGATGATTCACATGGAATCGAAGGGTAAAATGTATGCTGTTTGGTTCTCTGTTCCAGGTTAGCTTCAGAGATAGAATTTGCGACGAGATTTACCGGAAGGATTCAAGGTAGATTGGATACTTATAGAACAGAAGGTGTGAACCTACCCTTGAAGTTAAGAATAACATTGTCTAGAAGTGGATTAACAGTAACAAACCTACTATTAACTACTAAAAATCGAAATTATTCCTCTGCTGAGTTAGAGGCAGATTTGGCAAGTCCACCCTGACGTCTACACGTACTTGGGACGCGAATCTCAGCATCAATCTGTCCTGATGCCAATGATTTTTTTCCACATTGTGTGAAAGTGCCTCTCTAGTTTTAGGCGAAGCTTTGGCATAATTTTCAGAAGATTAGTCACAGATGAGAGGATAAAACTTCATTCGCATTTTCCCTTTTCCTCACCCCCACCCCCTCTCTCTCTCTCTTTCTTTCTCTCCCTTTTTTCTTTCCTCTTCATCTCCTTGTTTCTTCTTTCCTCATTTTTTCCTGCAAGTTGCCTGATTGCTGCTCCTGTTGCTTTTTTGCTGCAGACATGCCCATGATTGTCCCTTGATTTTGATCTTGACTAAAAATAGACAAACAAAGCTTTATAATAACAATATCCAATAAATTACTATGTGAGTTAATTAATGGATAATTGAAGGATATTTACGAACTTACATTAACATTTTTGTTTTTTCATAATCTAGCTTTTCGAGGTTCTATTTCGCACTTTTCAAAGGGTTGATAAGTTTTTTTTGTTCGGAATGACTTAAATAACATAAAAAACGTTGTCCGGCAGATGCAAAGATACTTTCCGTACTAATACCCACTTACATACATGGTGTTCCGCACCTAAATGGACATAGTGATTTCCCATATAGCAATTATGTTTTATAAATGGCCTTCCAACGCTTACAGAACTATTTTTATAAAATGATAAGGCCACTATAAACGTTCTAACAACGTTTATATATCGCTTATAAACCCAAAAAGGGCGCACGTCTTATGCAGCAGTTCTGTTTTTTAATTAGTTTCATTGTAACTCCCACAGCATATACAGGATGCTACTTATTTAAACATTTTTAAAATGATTAAAAATTATAATATACAACACTCATAAAACCAGTTAGAGAGCGAAATACTAGTTTTTTTATTATGACAATTATGAAATTGTAATATATTGAGTGACAAAAAAAGGTAAACTTCTACTATGTTTATCCGAATTTAATAATATTTGGCATATAACCAAATAACTTGCCACGATGTTATGGGATTTTTCCGGAGTATCAAAAGTAATGCCTTGGGTGTTGACGGAATCAACCTAAATATGCTAACAATCATATTCGATTTGCTAATTGAAAGTATAACTTTCATCATCAACTATGCAATTGCATCATCAAACTTCCCCAACTGTTGGAAAAAAGCAAATGTTCTCCCCCTAGCTAAAATAAGTAACCCTACACATATTTCACATTTGAGGCCGATAAATATACTATCAGCATTTTCCAAGATATTAGAACTACCCATGAAACATCAGGTATCTGACTACGTCTTCTGTAATGGTATCATTCCTGAAATCCAATCGGGTTTCAGGAAAAACCACAGCGCAACAACAGTTCTGGCTAACATCACTGCTGACTTAATCAGATGTGTGGATCAAGGAAATTTAGCATGCTTAGTGCTGCAATTAATTTTGTATTAAGTTATTTTACTGACAGGAGTCAGATGGTTGTGAATGGGTCAAGTATCTCGGAGGAGATATCAGTTAAACTAGGGGTACCACAGGGTTCCATTCTGGGACCATTATTGTTCTCAATTTACATTTCTGACTTCCACGAGTACGTTGAACACTGCAGTATTCATCACTATGCTGACGACACTCAATTGTACTTTGGCTTCGATATTAAAGATTTAAAAAATGCCGAACATTTGATTAATAATGATTTAATAAATTTATCTAACGTATCTTGTGCCCAAAATCTGAAAATTAACCCGTTAGAATCATCCGCAGTAACCTATCATTGCGCATTTTAGATCAACCGATCCCTATAAAAAATGAGTGCAAGA